GGAATGATAGAGGCATGATGCAAAGAGCTATATGCAGCCATCTGTTTATAGCACTGAACAATTGTTGTCAATAACCCCACTATAAATGTCAGCATCTGACATGGTGTCAATAACTTATTGTGTAAGGATAATACACTGTCTTGGTAAAGCCCAGTGTAAAGAATAGTTTGCTAGCCAGCATTGTGTGATTACAATTACAGAGGGTTTTTTATATATTGGGTCAATCATTTGATGGATGGAAGCTGGAGTATTTAGGTGAGATTATTATAGTGTTGCTGAATAGCAGCATTTGGACTTGTTCAGAGCAGCATTTCTCAGACATTAGTCTGGCCTCTCCAGGGAGGCTGTGACCTCTGAGGGCTGCAGAAACGAGTCCAGAGAAAATGGGAGGAAAAATATTCGCTGCTCCCTGCAAGTTCATTTAAATTGAGGACTCAGCAAAAGAATATTTAATAGATGTTTCTTGCTTTTGATGAGTTAACCAAAGCTGATCTAGTATGAGAGAATAAGCAACACGCTCTGGCCCTGTTTCCTACAGTCAGTACAGATGTGGCATATTAAAAATAAAATGAAGTTATTACAGAAATTACATACCCAGCATCAAAGTCCATACATGATGTAAACTCATACAGGAGTGTATTAAGCTCTTCAGGGACAAAGGCTCTGCACAATGACAATGCAAACAATTAAATAAGTTATGTCTCAACATACTATTTTATTTTTAAATGTATTCTACAATACATATATATGAAATTAGAAGCATCTGAATGGCTCAAACCAATTCAATTTGACAAAAGCTCTGAAAAAAAGATTTTATTTAGATTTATTATCAACATCTGCATGGTTCACAAAAATACAATTTTCCCTTTCTGGCTCTATGTACTCATGCCTGTATTGAACATTTCTTTACTGTAACATATGCCCATATTAGAATGGAATGATAGCAAAAGCAGGTTTTAAGGAACAACAAGCTCTAAAAATCAACCTTAGCGCTTGCAGTAGGACTACACTATTGGCTGCTATAAAATAAAACCATGATAACATAAAATGATGCAACTCCCCCCCCCCCCCCTTTTTTTTTAAAAACAGACATTTAAAAGTAAGAGAATTCAAAGTTTGCCTGTATCTTAAAACAGTCATCGTCCGGATCCGTTTTAAAAGGGGCTAGAGCAACCAAACTGCCACAGTCCAGTTTAGTAGGCAACGTGTACATAAATTATTCAGCGTTTTAAAATCTAAAAATCAAAGCTTTACCCTGGGTAATCCAGCTTAATGTAACAACCGGAAAGCCAATTTATGAGCAATTTCAGATTAGGTTTCCCCACAAAACCTCAGAACTGAAATTACAACAAGGAACAAGAAGAGCAAGCCCTTGCCTTTTCTATGTTGCACACATATACCATTTTCTAGAATACATGCTAGGTTGACAACATACACTATGACTTTCAGTACTGGCTGGATCCTAACCCTCCCCCCTTCCAGTATAATTAATAAGGAGCTCTACATAAAATGCTGACATAAGTCTCTTAAAATGTTCTTACTCTCTGAAGTAGATGTACTATTACTGCTTAAGTCCTCACATACCTTACTGTCATTTCTAAAATCTTAGTGGCAAGAATCACAGAAAGAGAGAAGCAATATACAGTGTCTGCAAACTCAGACCTGTACAGTTTACTGACAGCTCCATCACTGCAATCAATGTAAATATTAGCAATTCATAAACAAACAGATAATAATAGACTGTCAATTCATCTGTATTCCCTCCAGTACCAAGCATACTATCAGAGCTTAAATAATTAATATTCTGGGCTTATGATGTACTTTTCACCCCAGGATCTCAAAGCACTTGGCACTGTGTGGAGATGGATTTTTACTTTGCTGGAGAAAATAGGGCAGAAAAAGACTAACTGATAGACCAAGGTCATGCTGTGTTAAGATTTTACTTCTCCTCTACCATTTGACTGGATAGCTGCTGTGACCTTGTAAAGCTAAAAGAAGGCTGCATTTTAAAGCTAACAATGTAAAGATAATCTCCCTTAAAGTGTACCATATGTTTGTGATTAGGTGAAAGAAAAAGCTTCAGAAGAATTGCTGGTAGTGCAAATGTTCACAGTGTTCTCTGGGGTATAACAGCTTAAATTTTCAGTGGAGCCTAGGAGAAGTAGATGCAAAGCCCCCCTCATCGCCAGTTCAAGTTAAAATGGCTACTCAGCTTCCCTGGGCTCTGCTGAAAACCCAAGCTTATATATCTGTGAAAGTTTCCCAATTAGAAACTAACACAAAAA